TGTGCCCGCCGCACTGAGCCAGACCCGCTCGCGTCTACCGCCGAAGACCAGGCGTGGCGGCGCTCGGCGCATGCGCACCTCCTGCTGCCGCCGGGCCCGCGGGGGCGACGCCGGGAGTTGTAGTTCTGTGAGGCGGGAGAGGCTGCGGGAAGAACCAGCTGGGCTCAACCTCCTGCCAGAGAGGCCAGCGCGAGTCTTACACTTCCTCTCTTTGTCAGGCCCGAGGAGCCGGGTGCCTGAGTGCAGCGTGGCCCGCGGTCCAGGTCAGCTGGGTCGGAGCGCCCAGAAACGGGAAGAGGAAACTTGGCCTTGTGGTTTATAACGGGAATGAAAGTCCAGAGAACCCTGTGTTACCAAGCTCTCCTTGCCCTTATGTCTTGACCCTTCCAGGCATCCTGCAACGGGAACATTTTTTTCTTACAGATTAGGAGATTGTAAGTATCCTTTAAGGAGATGGTGGTGACCAAAAAGTTATTTCATCTGGGAGAGGACTAACAAAATCTGAGGGGGTGGTGATGGTGGAAGCAGACAGTCCCTCACTTTGAAGCTGAAACTGGCCTCTAATTCATAGGCAGGAACTGAGTCTCAGCTTCCCAAGTCCTAGGATTACACCTTTCTCCAATTCATAGAATCTTTATTCTTTTTTAAAGATTTATTAATGCAGTGTGTGTGTGTGTAACTGTACCTCCTGGGTACAGGTGACCGGAGAGTATCACACACATCCCAGCCTCCTATGTATTGTTGGGAAGCAAACCCAGGTACACTGCAAGAATAACAAGTGCTCCTACCCCCTTAGCCATCACTCAGCAGGTGCCTTCATCCTCAAGTTGCACACTTGCAAGTCTGCCCCCCCCCCATTTTCGCCATGTTCTGAGCCCTCCTTTTGTCTACCACTACAGCCAACACCGCAGCCTCACAGTACCTTGTAAGAAGCAAAAAGGGCCATTTTGTAAACACCCACGTACCTGTTCAGCCTTAGCCACAGGCTCTGAATGTGGGGAGAATGAAATGTCTGTCTGTGCCGTGACTCGGGACCACATTTTCCTCCTCTCACTGCCTAGAGCCGCTCAACTGTGAAGCAGACAGCCGCTGCTTATTAAACCTCAGCGAGTGAGCATGGCTCTGTGCCCCCTGCAGCTGCAGCTTGGCCCCGCCCCAACCTTCTCTTGACACTTGACTCCTTCCCGTCTCAGTGGCAAGCATAGTAGCGCCAACCACATCAGGGCAGCCTGGTTGGAACTCTGGAAGTGCTTGTCTTTAGAAGGTCTTATATCTCGAGGTGTTTACCAGCAGCAGCTAGAAGTGCCCCCAGACAAGTGAGAGCCCCAGGTGGCTCCCTCTAGTGTTAACAGCTCTTACCCAGGCCTCGGTAATAGGACCCTTAGCTACAGGATCCTGTTATACAGTTACACATGAAGCTCTTACATACACCTAGATAACAGGACCCTTCGCTCCACAATGTTACAGCTCTTACTAGGCACGGTAAGGCAGGGTTCCCCAGCGTTCCCCAGCCTTGACCCCAGCCGGTATTCCCGCTCCTGAACCTAGGGAGTCTGAGACCCTTGGCCCTCAAGTTCCGGCAGCTCCCGAAATCTTCAGTAACCAGGTCCTACAGTTCTCTTTTCAGGCTTGCTTTCTCCAGCCTTGCTCCCGACTCTCTACTTTTGTCATCCTCGTTCCTGTGCTGGCCATGGCCATGCTCTCCAACTGCCAAGCGGCTGGCTGTCTTGCTGCTTTTGCTGCTCAGCCTTCTGACCGATCAGCTTCGGTTGTTGTTGCTGCTGTCTTGTCTCCAAGGCTGCTGGCTTCCTGTTTCCTGCTCAGCCTGCACCTCTAAAAGCAGGCAATACAAGACCACTAAGGAAAGCTTCTTATTGGGGGTAATGTTGGGACACCAAGGGAGAGGCAGCCTCTCCCTGAGTGAGCTAAGCAGTTTGTTTATATAGTCAGAGAAGGGGTGTCAAACCAATCACAGAAAACTTCACAAGCAAAGGAAGGTTTGTGTTTTTACCAATCATGCATACCCCTGCTGGGCCACCAGGTGGGAGTGCCCTTCATCTGGCCTAACTTGAAATGGTTGTGGGTTACCTAGGGTTCGCAAGGCTTGTGATATAGCAAGTAGTCTGTTATGAACTGTGTGAAACAACTCTGGCTGAGGTGGCAACTTCAAGAGCCAAAGCAGTGGGTTGCAATAGCTGGATAGTTTTCTAAGGCTCTTGGGCAGTGTTCAGAATGGCTGGTGCAGCCATAAGATAGTCAGCTGACTATCTAACTGACAGTCTTTCTGCCTAAGACAGCCAGGACAGCCCAATCAGGGCTGGTTATGGCATCCAATTGCCCTACCCCTACCCCATAAATGCCTTTGTTTATCTGTCAGAAATAATCATCAGAAGGAATACTTAAGAACATAACAGATCTTTGATAAAAGCTTAACCATTCTCAACACCTGCCCAGTGTCACACCCCGCCCTAGGTCCTCTGCTCTTACATCTATTAAATGGGCCAGTGTATAGACAATACACATTTGATCATAGCCAAAGCCTGAGAAGCAGCTATAGACAGTTTGTATAGCACCTAAGACAGTGTAGGTGCTCAACAAATGTTGGTTAAGTTTATTAATAGAATACTAGCTCAGCCATCTCACTTAATTAGAGCTCACTGTGCTGGTTAGTTTTGTGTTAACTTGACACAAGCTGGAGTCATTTTGGAGGAGGGAACTTCAAATGAAAACCTTGTCCCACCAGACTGGCCTGGGATGCATTTTCTTGACTGATGATAGATGGGGGAGGGCCCAGTTCATTTGGGCAGTGCTACCCTGGGTTGGTGGTCCTGGGTTGTCTGAGAAAGCAAGCCAGTAAGCATTGTTCTCCCATGACCTCTGCTTCAGCTCCTGCCCCGACTTCCCTGAATGAAGGATTTAAAAGCTGTAAGGTGAAATAAACCCCTTTCTCCCCAAGTTGCCTTTAGTCATGGTATTTTATCATAACAATAGAAACCCTAGGTAAGACATTTACCAAAGAAAAATACAAGCAATTAATTAAATTTCTTACTGTATGGATCAAAGGTTAGCTGATGGAATGTGTCACACATTGGATTTTATAGCCCAAAGGAACCAGATCAATCTACCCCAGCCATACTGGACCAATGGTACATTTGGAGTCAATACAGACTAATGCAATGGTCAACCCAGTTTAACTCGTACAAAGTGCCATGCCCACACTGGATCCTGAAGTGACTAAGATACCCAGCTCTCTCATTCCTGTGGCTTTGTTGTGTGAGTGCGGAGAGGCCATAAAAATGGGGTTTGCAGCCCTTGATGTCCCCAAGGCCTCTTCTCCCACCCTCCTGAGCAGTCATGCTTCAAAAGAGTGCGTCTCTGTTTTGTGACACCACATGTCTCTTCCTGATTGCTTGGTCTATTATTAGCAAGCATGTGAGAGATTGTGGTTTGTGTGTGTACATGCCACGGTGGGTACACGGAGGTCAGAATACAACTTTTTGTAGTCTGTTCCCTCCTTCCACCTTTATACAGGTTCCAGGGCATGAACTCAGTAAGGCTTGCAAGGCAAGCACTGTACCTCTGAGCCATCTCACTGCCCCCCCAGGCTTCTTGTGCCTGTCCTCCCTGCAGCACTGGACCCCAATCTCGACATGCTTTCCCGCCAGGCTTCATGGACCCCAGCTGATACCTTCTTTCCCAGTCTTGTGCTCTGGCTCCTCCCCCTAGCTCCACAAGGTGACTCCTTAAAACAACCTTCTCTAGCTCCTTTCCTCTGGTTCCCTGGGGCCCTGTCTCATGGCTTCAATTACTCTCTCTGTCCTAGAGTCTTGAATGAGTTTTTATCCCTTCAAAAAATGTTCATCCGTACTTCAGAATGTGACTTCGTTGGAAATAGGGTCATTGAAGATTTAATGGGACTTAAGTGGCATGGGATAGGCCCTCTCCAAATGGACCTGTGTCCCTATGAAAAGATGGAAGTTGCCTTCTTACTTTCCCATTGCTGTGATACAACACCACGAGCAAGGCAGCTTATAAATGGAAGCATTTAATTTGCTTTCAGTTTCAGAGGTTAGAGTCCATGAGTGTGGAGTAAGGCCCACATCTTGTTTGATCTGCAACCATGAGGCAGAGAGAAAACTCTGAGAATTCCATAAATCCTTTGAAACCTCAAAGCCACCCCCAGTGACACATCTCTCCTCCAACAAAGTCACACATCTTAACCCTTTCCAAACAGTTCCAACAACTAGGGACAAAGCATTCAAATATATGAGCCTATGGGAGGCGTTCTAGTTCAAACCACCACAGACAGTGATATGAAGACCAGACAGGAGGATACCATGTGACGACAGAAGCAGCCTGAAGTGACATAGCCCAGCAAGCCAAAGTGGGTCCAGTTACTCACATGATGGCTGCAGGTCTCCATGCCATCCCTGGGCCATGTGTGCCTGGGGACAGCTATGGACCCAGTCCAATACAAAATCACCAACTTAGTTAAAATATTTGATTGGTTTTTTTTTTTTGTAATTTGATTGGACAGTTCTCAAACATGAGCTTTGTAGATGACAACATTATGTCACAATGGCAAAAAATTGGATGCATCTACAAATCATCCAGTTTGTGGTCCTTCAGTGCAGTGGCCATAGGAAGCAGACCCCACTCCCAAACGCACATGAACCTGTCACTGCCTGCTGTCCGAGCCCTCGGCTTGTATGCCACTTCTCCACTCAAACTCCACCCAGAGACACCAGAGGGCCAATAGCAAAAACTGGAACCGGGCACCCAGATGCCCAAGTCTTGGTTCTGTTCTGACCACTCCTGTGGTCTTGGTAGTTACTTTAACCTGCCTGGACCTCAGTTACCTGATGGGTAATCTGACACTATTACTACCTGTTTGTGACGGTTAAATTTGTCTGCCAACTTGACCATGGAATAAGGAACCCTAAGGCATTGCTGAGATATTGGTAAGGAATTGTATCCTGGGGATGAGGGGATAAATGATTTATCAGGAAGTATTTAGAGCAGCATTTCCATTGAATTCAGTCCAGAGGATGTGCTGTCTGAGATTGGCAGGTCCAGGAAAGGGAAAGGGCCAGTTGCTCAGAGAGGTCAGAAAGGGTATCAGAGCCCTGGGACTGGAGTTACTGACGGTTGTGAGCTGCCATGTAAGTGCTGGGAATTGAGCCCAGGTCTTCTAGAATAACAGCAAGTGTTCTTAACCACTGAGCCATCTCTCCAGCCTCAGTTTCTATTTTCTCTACAGATAACTATTGCTTCCAAGTGTTTTTTAAAAAAATGAGTCTGGGTTTGAGTAGCAGAGAGCACTTGAGGTACCTGGAGAATCTGGGTTCAGGTAGATGCTAGTGTGCCTGGTGGATATGTTAATCAGTTATAAAATGATCCTTAGTGTCTCTGGGAAGTTGGCAGCTAGGTGTGGTCATCAGAAATCCCAGGAAGGATCGTTTGATTTCAAGAGGGTCCTGGCACATAGGCCTGCAGAAGAAGGGGCTGGAGCAGCCAGACAGAGTGCTGTAGGGCCGATGTTGTCAAGTTATGTTTGGCCTGAAGAGCCTCTTCAAGGCCACAATTGTGTTTGTTGCAGCACAGTCCTATAAAACAGCCAGGGTAGGAGGCTTCCTGCAAGAGTAGCCTTGCTGCAGACACAAACTAGAGTGAAAACCTGGAAGGAAGAAGGAAGGGAGGGAGGGAGGGAGGGGGAGGAGAGAGGAGTAAGAGATTAGAAACACACTAAAACCTTGCTAGAAACTAAGGCCCGCTAATACTGGTATGGGTAAAGTCATCATGGCACAGATAGCAGCTTTTCTGCAGCAGCAGCAATTGGTAGAACAGACATTGGATAAACTAGGCTAGCTGGGTCTTAATGTCTCTGTCTCTGCATCTCTATCAGAAGCATTACCTGTTGCCTTGGCCACTCATTTTCAACATCTTCTTTAAAGGAGGGAAACAGAAGGCCTCTTTTATGCCATGCATATTGTTTCCTTTAAATATTATTTAACCATCATGTTTTTAGCCTCTTCATGGAAGCATGTCTCACTTGAAGTTCTGTGCTACTGAACCACATTTGGTCAGTTGTGGTTGTGGGTTTCCCGTTTGTCTCTCCCACAGCAGAAACAGGTGCAGGCCTTTGTTTGAACATTGTTCCTGTAATTGGACTAACCGTTCACTACAGTTGAGCACGGTCATTGTGCTGTTTACTGAGGTTCAGGCGAGGCCCTTGGTGGAGGCCGAGCGTTGCCCTCACGCCACACCCCACACTTCCCTCGCTCCGCCTTGTCGCCGTGGCTTTGAGCACAGACCTCAGACCTTTCTAGGGCCACAGGGCCTGCGTTTGTGGAGAGGCCAGCCAGCGCGCGCTCCCTGGGACAGGGGTGCTGGGGCGAGCCAGCATGATCCCGGCCTTCCCAGCCCTCTCTTCCTGCCCCGGCTGTCCCAGGCTTTCTGAAACCTATCCATCTAACCCCATTTAGTGTCTGGGTCCGCGGGGGATGAATACAGAGGGGGAAGCAACGCCTACACACACACACACACCCATGGCATTGCAGTGCTTTCTAGGAATGAATCCCCTGCCTCTACCCATGGGGAAACTGAAGTGCGCGGTGGTTCAGGAGGGAGGGACTGGTGTTGCTTTGCTGAATCTCTCTGGCCTCTCCTGTGTGTTAGCCGGCCTTCCATAGACCAGATATACAAGGGTCACTCCAAAGCATATCCTTATGAGTGACTGCTTAGGCCAGCGGTTCTCAACCCGTGCGTCACGACCCCTTTGGATCAAACGATTCTTTCACAGGGATCCCCTAAGACCATCTGAAAACACAGATAGTTGCATTATGATTCATAACAGTAGCCACGTGACAGTCATGATGATTTTATGGTTGGGGATTAAAGCTCACAGCGTTGGGAAGGTTGAGAGCCACTCGTTTAGACACATGGGTCCGCGAGGACACACGGACATGATGTGTGTGTGTGTCCGGGGGTGTGACTGGTGCTAAGGGAGAGCCGGAGGGAGCTCTTGGTGCAGATGTGTGCAGAAAACAGCTTAGCAACCTACTGAGGCGTTCCATTCCTCCCTAACGGATGGGGGTGTCTGGCTGCCTGCACTGGGTGTGCAGTATGGTTTCTGTGGATCGCTCTGCATGGGAGCATCCAGAATAGCTGGGGAAGAACCCACGGTTTCTAGTGGGTGACTGGCTCCTCATCACTTGCTGCTGCGGGAAAGAGCGAATTCAAGGGGAAGAGATGGTGCAAAGAACCTGGGAGTATGGCCCTCTGCAGAGTTCTTTGCATTCATCTGTATCTTGGCCCCACCCCCAGCACACACTCCAAGGAAAGGCAGACCCAGAGACTGCAGGCCAAGGGCTGAGAAAGACCCTAGTTTTTATATTAATCATATTGGGGATTGAAACTTAGGGTAGAGAGGCATAACTTGGGGCAGAATCCTAAGAGTACCCTGGGAAGAATAGTAGGGCTGAGCGTGCCGGAAACAGCTCTGGTCTAAGTTTTGGATCCTGAGAAATTACCAGTAGCCCCCACCACAGCATAATAATAATGCGATGTATTATTTGGTCACTCAAAACCTGAAACCTTTGGATGGTACCTGGCTTGCATTCCTGCTGTGCTTTGTGATTTGAGCCAAGTTACTAAGTCTCACAGCTGCCATAATTTCAACTTACTGTGTTGGCACCAGAGAGAGGGGGAGATGTTATTACAACAGTTTGTAGATGGTGGGGCTGGCTAACTCGCCAGGCTGGACCAGGAAGGAGGCTGGAATTCTCCAGCAGGTGGTTCTGCCTCCCCTCTCTTTCCTTCCTTCCTTCCCTCCCTCCCTCCCGCCCTCGGAGGGGTTGTTGAGACATAGTGTTGTCTCACTATGTAATTCTAGCTATCCTGGACTCACTATGTAGACCGGGTGCCCGGAGAACTCCTAGAGATCTTAAGGCAGGTACCACTATGCCCGCCCAGGTGGGGTTCCTTTTTCTTCAGGGACCCTCATGGCCTTTTGGTGGGTTGGGGCTGGCCACATCCATGCAGATTATCTGTGGTGACTTTATGTAAAGTCACCTGCCTGCAGATGGCGTCTCTGCATCACCTGGCTGAGTACTGATAAACTTTGGTTGGTAGCACTTCTGGGTGGCTGTGTAAAACTCATCACACGGTTACAGTGAGCTCCTCCCCGTCACAGGCATTTTGTGATGATGAAAGAGCTGGGGACACACAAAGTGCTTGGCACAGCGACCCTTGAGCAGTGTCAGCTGCTGCCAGCCTTATTAGATTGTATGAAAGTTAACGAGAATGTTGAAGGAAAATCTTAGACCTGGACACTTCTGTTTTCTTTGCCTTTCCACTATTTTCTCCTATCCCTTTTAGTCCGTTGACAAATCCCTGTTCTGTGACCCACAGATACGTCATGGGTGCTGCCTGAGGTTAGAAGAACATGGCCTCACCCCAGGAGGGCAGAGTTTTCTCTGAAAAAACCCACCCATAGCAGGTTCCCTCTTTTCCACAGAGGGGTGCTGAGGAGCTGGTCTGGCTCAGCCCTGGCCTGGGCCCAGAGGGTGGTGAGGCACAAGAGCTCAGGCCAATGGCTAAGCCCGCCTGCCAGCTGTGCCCAGACTCTACTTCCTTGCTCTCTGCCCAGCACTTCCATGGCCCCTGCACTGGAGCTATGAGGCCTTGCCATTGACCTCAGTTTGGCCAGAGACAGGCAGAAAGACCAGATGGTGAGGTCACTGTATGACCCAGGTGAAGAACAGGGAAGGGAAAGCTTGTCCCTCCTGCCATGCATATGCTCTCCTGGAGCACCAACTGTGAGCCCCTACTCTCCCCTACATCCCGGCAAGTTCTCTCTGGGCTAAGGATGCCCTCTGGTGGTCATGAGAGAGGGCGGGAGGAACCTTGTGTTCCAAAGCTCCACTTGTGGTCCGTCCTGCCTTCCCCTCTGAGTCACTCTATCATTTAACCTCCTTGGGTCCAAACAGCCTTACTCAGCAGGGCCTCAGGAGAACTGAGTTCAAGGCTAGCCTAGGTTACATAGCAGGCAGTTTCTCAACACACACACACACACACACACACACACACACACACCTCTGCACATATGCACAACTAACGGCCTCACCCGTAGGGAAAGTGTTCAAGCATCTTCTAGACTCCTTCCAGTTTTAACTTCAAAGTTTCTGTGAACAATGTGGAATTGCATTTTGAGACAAGGTCTCACTGTTTAGCCCTGTGCCTTACAGTTTCTGTTGCTGTGATGCAGCATCATGACCATGACCAAAGGCAACTTGGGAGGAAAGGGTTTATTTCATGTTACACTTTTGGGTCATATTCCATTCACTGAAGGTGGTCATGGCAGAAACTCAAGTAGAGCGGGAACCTGGGGCCAGGGACTGAAGCAGAAGCCACTGGGAGGTGGGGTGCTGCCCAATGGCTCACTCCTCACGCTTGTGCCTGCTTTCTTATTGCACCCAGCACCACCAGCCCAGGGGTGGCACTGCCCACAGTGAGCTGGTCCTTCCCACATCAACCAAGAAAATGAACCACAAACTAGCCTATAGGCCAGTCTTACATGGATATTTTTCATTTGCGGTTTCCTCTTCCAAAATGTCTTTAGCTTATGTCAAGTTGACAAAACAGCCAGCCTACTCTGGCTGGCCAGAAACTCACTCTGTAGACCAGGCTGGCCTCAAACTCAGAGATCTGCCTGCCTTTGCCTCTGCCTCTGCCTCTTGAATGCTGGGATTAAAGGTGAGAGCTACCCTCATCTAGCCGGATTACACTTAAGATACTTTCCATTAGGAAAATATCAGTTTTTCTTCTTGGTTATCTGATTCTTCTTGAGTTTACAATTCTTAAAACTTAAATTGGGCTCTTCCATTTTGTTCTCATCTCTCTTGAGTGGCAGCAGCCAGAATGGTGTTCAATCCCTTTGTGACTTTGGAAGAGGCATTCCAATGTCCCTTTCCACGTGGGGAGGAAGGTCATGTCTCCCCTCTTTCTAGAGAGCTGAGTATAATGTCCATCAATGCCCTTTGAAAGGATGGCAAAGGTCATGTTGTACGAGGAACCCTCAGAGGTCAGCGGATTGTCAAAGTGGTCCAGGTTTACGGGAAGGAGGTTGTCACTGAACAAGTGCAGTGGGGAGTGGGGGCTTAACAGTGCAGCTGTTCTCATGGGCATTCACCCAAGAAGGTGGCTGTCACCCAGGCCAAAGTTAGCAGAGTCTCTGGAATTGGAGTTGCAGATGGTTGTGAGCTGCCATGCAGGTGCTGGGAATCGAACCCAGGTTCTCTGGAAGAACAGCCAGTGTGCTCTTATCCATGGAGTCATCTCTCCAGGACCAAATAAATCTTTTTTTTTTTTAAGAAGCAAAATAAAAAGTGGGTCACTAGCATGCATGACCCATGTGCGTCTGTTGGTGACAGGAATTTTCCATTCTTTTGATTTGTATTTTATTTGTTATTTTAAGATAGGGTCTCACGTAGCCCAGGCTAGTCTCATTTGATAAGTAGCTGAGACTAACCTTGAACCTCTGATCCTCCTGCCTCTGCTTCCTGAATGCTGAGAGTATGGAGTGCACCACCATGCCTGGCTCTCTTGTCTGCTTCCAGTCCTGACTGTTTCGCATTGCCACACTTTCTCCATGGCGCTTTATGACCCCTGAGCTTTGGTGAATGGGTGAATTTGGCGAATTGCCTGAGAGGTGGTGAGAGCCTGCCAGGGTCAAGCCTTGGGACCTACCACACTGCTTACCTAGCTTGTGGGAAGCAGTCCTCACTTCCTGTGTACAGAGAGCCAGTGCCTCTCCCCTGCTCCTCACACTTCTCCCCTGCTCATCACTCCTCTCCCCTCTCCCCTGCTCGTCGCTCCTCTCCCCTCTCCCCTGCTCGTCACTCCTCTCCCCTCTCCCCTGCTCATCACTCCTCTCCCCTCTCCCCTCTCCCCTGCTCATCACTCCTCTCCCCTGCTTTCCAGGAGGACCAGCCCATCTACTTGGCGGTGAAGGGAGTGGTCTTTGATGTCACCTCTGGAAAGGGTAAGTGGTTCTTTCTTTCGGAGGAATGCAGGGCAGGGCAGGGCAGGGCAGGGCAGGTACCTGGAGGGTGAGGCAAAGGGCCATGTCAGGCAGGGCCTCTCGCTTCCCTCTTCCCTCTGAAAGGGCCCTGATGGAGCTGATCCCGGTCAGGGTTTTACCAAGAGGTCTCATCTGTGTAGTATCCCTCTCAATGGCTCCTATTTGAAGGGCTGTGGAATCCACTTCAAACCCAATGAACTCCAGGTGAAGCCAGAGCAGTGCCCTCAGTTAAGAGTGGCTGCTGTAGAAGGGGACAGAACATTGCAACACCATGTCACAGCTTCCCGACTCTACCCATACATAGTACCAGGACGTGGTGTTTTTAAATATTTTTTTCATTTTTATTTTGTGTACGGGTGTTCTGCCTGCATGTACGTCTGAGTGCCATGTGCATACAGTGCTTGCAGAGGCCAGAAGGATGTTGGATCCCCTGGAATGGCTGTGAGTCATCATGTGGGTGCTGGGAATTGAACCTGGGTCCTGTACACGAGTCAGTGCTCTTGACCACTGAGCCATCTCTCCAGCCCCTGGAGGTCGGTTTTCACGACCCATCCTGTAAGAGCACATGGTAGAAGGAGACATGGCCGCCTGAGGCGTTTGAGACCAGAGGCTCTTCTTGTCTGTATTTGTGTGTACATCACATACATACATACATACATACATACATACATACATAGAGACAAACACCACACACACACACACACACACACATACAGACACACATACACACAGTCACACACACGCACACACAGTCACACACACGCACACACAGTCACACACACACACACTCATGCACACACACAGACACAGACACACACACACAGACACAGACACACACACACATACACACACATACAGACACACACACACAGACACAGACACACACACACACACACACACATACAGACACACACACACACACACACATACAGACACACACACATACACATACATACAGACACACACACACACACACATACACACACATACAGTCACACACACACACACACACACACAGACACACACACACTCATGCATACACACACACACACACACACACACAGAACTGAACCAGGACTTTATGTATGATAATAAAGGTAGCAAAGTAGTCTACCACTGAGCCACACCCCACCCCCCCTCCTCCTTTCCCCCTTTTAAATACTTATTTTGAGATGGGTGCAGGCTAGCCTTGAACCTGCAATCCTCCTGTGTCAGCCTCCTTCCTAGCTGTGATGACAGGCCTGCATCGTTAGGCATGACTTACTTTTTAATTTTTAAAAAGACTTCATTGTGTGTTTTCTGCAAACAATCGCTCAGTTGGCAGGTATGTTTCACTCGTGTTCTGGATTGGTGGAGCACCACTCTGGACTGGTGGAGTACCATTCTGGATTGGTGGGGTGATTATTAGAGCACCGCTCTGGATTGGTGGAGCACCATCCTGGACTGGTGGAGCACCATCCTGGACTGGTGGAGCACCATCCTGGACTGGTGGAGCACCATCCTGGACTGGTGGAGCACCATCCTGGACTGGTGGAGCACCATCCTGGACTGGTGGAGCACCATCCTGGACTGGTGGAGCACCATCCTGGACTGGTGGAGCACCATCCTGGATTGGTGGAGCACCACTCTGGACTGGTGGGGTACCATTCTGGATTGGTGGGGTACCATCCTGGATTGGTGGAGCACCATCCTGGGTTGGTGGAGCACCATCCTGGATTGGTGGAGCACCATTCTGGATTGGTGGCGCACCATCCGGGATTGGTGGAGCACCACTCTGGACTGGTGGGGGACCATTCTGGATTGGTGGAGCACCATCCTGGATTGGTGGAGCACCATCCTGGATTATTAGAGCACCGCTCTGGATTGGTGGAGCACCATCCTGGACTGGTGGAGCACCATCCTGGACTGGTGGAGCACCATCCTGGACTGGTGGAGCACCATCCTGGACTGGTGGAGCACCATCCTGGATTGGTGGAGCACCATCCTGGACTGGTGGAGCACCATCTTGGATTGGTGGAGCATCACTCTGGATTGATGGAGCACCATCTGCCCTGCCGTGCTCATCCTCAAAACTACAGCCTTTCAGAGGATTGTGGGAGCTGTAGAGCCCCAAGTGTAAGCTCCTGGATGCTCTCCATGCTCTCCATGACCACCCACACTCTCTCCCCGCCACTGCAGAGTTTTATGGTCGAGGAGCCCCCTATAATGCCTTGACCGGGAAGGACGCCACCAGAGGTGTGGCCAAGATGTCACTGGATCCTGCAGACCTCACTCATGACACTGTAAGCCGATGAACATTTGTCAAAATGCACTGTTCCCATGCTGTGGATTTTGTCCTTGTTTTTTGTTTATTGTTTTTAAAGACAGGGTGTCACTATGTAGCCCTGTCTGGACTGGAACTCTGTGTAGACCAGACTGGTGTCAAACTCAGAGATTCGTTTGTCACCACTGTCCAGTGAGATAAGCCAAATTCTTAAGTCCTAATATTACAGAAATAAGGGGGAGGATTTAGCTAACCTTCCATTACTGTAACAAAATATCTGACATAAATAACTTTAAAAATTATTTTTATTTTTGTGTATGTGTGTGCCCATATCAGCTTATGTGAACCACACCTGCAGGTGCCTAGAGAGGCCAGCAGAGGGCGTCAGAGCCCCTGCAGCTGGACTCAGGCAGTTGTGAACTGCCTGGAGTGGGTGCTGGGAACCGTACCTGGCTCCTCTACAAGAGCAGTGCCCGTCCTTAACACTGAGCCATCTCTCCAGCCTTGAAAGCAATGTCTAAAGAGGAAAGGGTTAATCTGGAGGCTGTGGTCCATGAGTGACTACCTCATGGCTACAGCACGCAAAAACCCATGATCCTCATGACCAGAAAGCAGAAGAGAAAGGGGCGTGGCCAGTGTCCCACAATTCCTGTGGAGGGCAAACTCTCAATGTAAGGACCACTGGCTAGGCCCCGCCCTTAAAGTCTCCATCACCTCCCAATAGCTGCGCCCTGGAGACCAAACCACTGACACGGGGACCTTTCATAAAGTGACACTGTCCCTCCAAACTACAGCAGACAGTAGGCGTACTAGTATAGAGAAGTGGGCACAGGCTGTAGGGCCACCCGCCCAAGACCCGGTGTCCTGTGGACGGTAATTCCTATTTGCTCCCCTGCATTCTTCCCCTGCACGCAGCCGGCACTCCCCTCTCCACAGACGCTTTGCATCTACACCTTGCACACATGTGCCACACTCACCCCTGCACACACATCCTGCACTTCACCTCTATGTGCTCACACAGACACACGCTGCACTCACCCCTGCACACATCCTGCACTTCACCTCTATGTGCTCACACAGACACACACTGCATTCACCCCTGCACACACACCCTGCACTCACCCTGCACATACACATGCTGTATTACACCTGCACACCCGCTGCACTCACCCCTGCACATACATCCTACACGCACCCCTGCACACGCCCGCTGCACTCACATCCTATAAATACCCTCACTTACCCTCTGCACACATTCTCTTTATACTTAGGACTGTTTCTTTAAAAGTCTGTAGGCAAACTTTTTCATCAGGACCGGGGACTCCCCAAATAACCACACAGAGACTTACTATTAACTATAAATGCTCAGCCAGTAGCTTAGGCTTGTTACTAGCTAGCTCTTTCAGCTTAAATTCACCCCTATTTCTTATCTACGCTCATCATGTCCGCCTCCTGATCCCTCTGTGTCTGGCTGGCCACCCCGCCCTCCTTCCCAGTGCTCTCTCAGTCTGGTTCTCCCATCTAACCTCTTCCTGTGCGGCCATTGGCCAGTCAGCCCTCATTAACAATGATGGCGACACATCCTCACAGCATACAAAAGGACTGCTCTACAGCAGTTGTCCATTGTGTGATCTAAGAAGGTTTTCCATGTATTTCTGGCAAGCGGGGACACCATGAACACAAAGGTATCTCGGGGTGAGCCTCATCCATTGTGTACTTCAGAGGTGCTGACTCCTGCCATTTCCCTAAATGCAAGAAACTCCCTGCATAAACTGTGATGGTGAGGACTGTGTTTCTGATCTCTCCTTAAAAAAAAAAAAAAGAAAAAGGTTTTGTTTTTGTTTTTCTTAAGTGTGTTTTCCTCTTGCATTTGGGGTTTGGAGTGGGTAGGACAGGGCCAGAGAGAAGACAGTGTCAGACACAATGCAGTCAAATTCAATTTGCTCACCTCCCTCTCCTGTTTCTTCTCCCCAAGACGGGTCTCACAGCTAAGGAGCTGGAGGCCCTGGATGACGTCTTCAGCAAGGTGTACAAAGCCAAGTACCCCATTGTTGGCTACACAGCCCGCAGGATCCTCCACGAGGATGGCAGCCCCAACCTGGACTTCAAGCCTGAAGACCAACCCCACTTTGACATAAAGGATGAGTTCTGACGTCTAGCTGCAAAGGGCTGGTTCTGGGGTGAGGTGAGGGGTGGGACAGGGGTTAAGTGTCCCGTGGAACAATCTGGGGAAGCCCCCCTGGGGTCACCTGCATCTGAATAAAGCTGACGTTTAACTGGGAGACTGCTCTGTGATGTCCTTGGTGTAATGTCCTATGCCTGTCTGGGTGTCCCAGCCTGCACAGCCCCTACGGTGGTACATCTAGCTGCAACTGCAGGTCACCGTTGCTGTCTCGGTGGCAGGCTGTAAGGAACCGTCACTGCCTCTTCACACACTCGAGTGCTCCCAACTTCCCTACCACAGCCACGTTCATGTGCAGTAAGGATGAGAATAACGACCCCATGCAGCAAAAGAATTCTCTCTGTACTTCATATGCACAGCTTGCAGGGGAGGGAGTGAGGCTTGAGGTTCCCATCCTTGTCTGCCTGTGAAGACGCTGGGAGATGGTCAGGACCTTGGGGGCAGTGGAGGTCAGGACCATGGGGACAGGGGAGGTCAGGACCATGGGGACAGGGGAGGTCAGGACCATGGGGGCAATGGAGGTCAGGACCATGGGGGCAGTGGAGGTCAGGACCATGGGGACAGCGGAGGTCAGGACCATGGGGACAGGGGAGGTCAGGACCATGGGGACAGTGGAGGTCAGGACCATGGGGACAGCGGAGGTCAGGACCATGGGGACACTGGAGGTCAGGACCATGGGGACAGCGGAGGTCAGGACCATGGGGACACTGGAGGTCAGGACCATGGGGACAGCGGAGGTCAGGACCATGGGGACACTGGAGGTCAGGACCATGGGGACAGCGGAGGTCAGGACCATGGGGACACTGGAGGTCAGGACCATGGGGACAGCGGAGGTCAGGACCATGGGGACACTGGAGGTCAGGACCATGGGGACAGCGGAGGTCAGGACCATGGGGACACTGGAGGTCAGGACCATGGGGACAGGGGTGGTTAGGACCATGGGTAAGAAAGGAGAATCGCTGGAGGGATGAATGGGAATTGGCAATCGTGGGAACTGGCCACAGCCAGACTGTGGTAAGGAGCTTGGAGGCGAGCCTGGCCAGTGGTTTTTCAGAGAACGCTGACACCCACACCTCACACTGGTCCCAGGTCCCAGGAAGAAATTCCTCCTCTGGGGGTACTGCCCCTGCTGGTGACATAAACACTCTTTGAAGACAGTTTCAGTTGGGTTCTAAGGACTACAGGGATGTACTGCACCTGTAGACAGAATTACCTGGCCCAAATGACAGACATGCTGAGTCTGAGACAATGCTGTGTCATCGTGAACCCTCAGACCTTGTAGGAGCAGGAAATGTCTTTATATAAGCCATTTATCTATTTATTTACCCACTTATTTATTTTGTATTTTTGAGGCAGGATTCCACTATGTAGTCCTGACTATCTTGGAACTCACTATGTAGATCAGGCTGGTCACAAATTCGGAGAGATCAGCCTGCCTCTGCCTTTAGGATTAGAAGCATGTGCCAACATGCCCAGCTTATCCTTTGTTATTTACTAAAATCAACTGTCCTGTAGAGGTGACTCAGCAGTTAAGAACAGGAACTATTCTTGTGAGTTGAGAATTCACAACCACCTGCAACTCCGGTTCCAGGGGACCTAGTGCCTGTGACTTCCCTGGACACTTCCACTCATATACACCTGCTGCTCCCTCTGCATACACACAATTAAAAATAAAAATAAACCTTTAAAAATAAATGCAGGCTGGAGAGATGGCTCAGCAGTTAAGAGCACTGCCTGCTCTTCCAGAGGACTTGGATGCAATTCCCAGCACCCACATGGTGTTTGCAACCATCTGTAACTCCAGCCCTAGATAATCTGATGCCCTCTTCTGGCCTCTGTGGACACCAGTCACACACACGGTTCACAACTTACATGCAGACAAAATACACACACACCCATTAAACAAACAAACAAGTCTAAACAGCAACAGGCTGGGATGTAGCTCATTTGGTAGAGTTGCTTGCCTTAGCACGCATGCAACTCTGGATTCCAGCCCCAGCACAAAACAACGGGAGTGGTGACACACACCTGTGATCCTAGGGCCCAGAAGGATCGGAACTTCCACACTGTCCTCAACTATGTCGTGGGTTTAAGGGCAATACTTGGAATACTTGAGTCCCTGACATAAGTGTGTGTGTGTGTACAAAACTAGAAATTAAAGTCAGCCTATGAGAGAGTATTTTCACTAAGCAGAGGACTGTCCAGATCCATGCCCCAGGACTCAGTACCCCTACAGCATAGCCTGGGAACCTTTGACTGTTGTTAACCAGCGCCTTAGGAAGCTTTGACTGGATTAAAGGCACTGGGAAAGCCAACCCTGGGCTTCCCACACCTCAGAGAGAGCAGGTTCGGATCCTTCCTAAGGACTGGTGTGACTGTCACTGTCACCTTACTTGGTGGCACATTCCAGGGCTGGGGAATCTAATTGCAAGCCACTGGACTTGCTGTCCTGGACTCTTCATTCCTGGCATAAGCAGATATGCAAGGCCTTGGAGAGATGGGTTTCAGAGTCATAACTGCCTTTGAGTCCTGACTGCGTCGCCACAGCTCTGCTGAGGTTAGTTAGTTTCTTGGATCTTCAGTTTCTTAATGTTTATAATGAGAGCAAAAACAGCCATGGCACAAGGCTGGCTCAGGACTGGGGGAGGCAGGTGTGTGTTGTACCCAGCTGGCTCCTGACACCTGTGAGTGATGCATTTCTTCACATTTGACTCCCCTCTGCTGCATGCTGCCTCCACCTTCCGGGCCAGTAGGCATCTTCCAGCTGGGGTATGACCACAGGTAGGCAGAAGGCATTTAGGGGCATGCCCAGTGTGGGGGTGGTAGACTGGGCTTTGGAAGAGGCGTAGATGGGCAGCAGCGAGTGAGCCTGAACCCGAGCCCTAGCCTGGCTTTCCTTGTGGAGGTTCCTTCCTGCAGCTTCAAGGCTCCCAGATGCCCTGCAGAGCCTCTCTGCATCCCATGGGCCTCTCTCCAGAGAATGGCCCGGCTGCATTTTTGCTACCCCAGGGTTCATCACAACTGTTTCAGTGGCCCCAGCTCATCTCATCCCAAAATGGAAGTAATACACTCAACCTCTTTTGGACCCATGCAATGCTGTCCCTGCCCTCATCTACACTGGCTGCAAAACCCTATCTTCTCTTAGATACATCATCAGGGAAGCGTCTCAGACCCCGACATGGCCCTGTGTGGTACAGATCCTTCTGAACAGAAGTGGTATTTTATAGCTTCCCATGGGGCTGGATCCCCTCACTCCGTTTGCCATATCCATGCCACCTAGTGTGAAGTCCTTGAATGTTTGATCCCATGAACAGAAGGGAAATGGAGGTGGGAATGAATTGGTACTCCTGTCTCTGGGCATAGCCTTCACCAGCCATCCCTCTCTACCATGCTCACACGTGTGTGTGTGTGTGTGTGTGTGTGTGTGTGTGTGTGTGTGTGCGCGCGCGTGTGTGTGTGTGTGTGTGTGTG